ACCTACTTAACATAACCTAACTAATATTAACTAATAATTAAGTATAGAAGTAGCGATTACCTACTAGTACAACTAGTAAACAAGACTACAACTAACACACACACACACACACATATATATATATATATATATAGAGAGAGAGAGAGAGAGGGAGAAATGTAATTTCAAATCTACCATTTCAATGCCCAATATTTGATGTAGCCTCGTTAACAGCTCCTTCTGAGAAGACCATTGCTTGTCTAACCACAGCAAGCCTTGCACCGCTGCCCCAATACTGGCTGCTGCTACCATTGACGGTGGATACATGGAGAAATTGAAATCTGAAACAAAAAAGCTAATATAAGTCACACTGTACGAGTTTCTCATGGAACAATAAGTTTTTTTTTTTATAAGACGACTTACAAATGTAAAAAGCATAAAATCAAGCATCTTCGATGACCAAGATTAACACCCCAAATCAGTCTTTCCAAGATCTTAAAATCTTGAGAAACTACTTATATTATCAAATTGCTTGAACAGCAGTTGTTATGGTGTGAACTAGACAAAACTGTCGAAGTGTAGTTGTTATTAATTTCATACGAGTCATTTGCAACTCAGAACTAGAGTAAAACATAATAACACAATATAATTTATTCATTTTAACACCAATTATTTATCATTATTTTAATTTTTACTTGAATTAACTTTTAGTCATCATTCGACAGACTAGTCTTATTGTTCTTAACATTAGAATAATACGGATCATTAGATTACGCCGCTAAGAACTGTAAGTAGGTGAAATGGGTGTGGGAGAAACTAACAAATCTAAAAACTATATTACATTGTAACTTGTATGTTTCCGCCGATTAATAATTTGGAAAGTTTTAACAAGAAATAAACTTATTCGTGAAATAGTCTGCTCAAATTATACTAAATTATAAATTCTAATTAAACTCTTTTAACAAATTAATTTGATTTTTAGTTCGTATACGAAGAGCAAAGAAAAACAAAATCAAAATTGACACAAATAAGAACAATAAATGTTATCAAATATTTGCTCTATAAGCAGAATTAGAACTTTTTCGTACTCAGAATTATAAGGTTCAGTTGATTCCAACATCCAAATACACTAATATCCGCCAGGTAATTAAAATATCCGCAAGATCCCAGGTTACGAAAATGTACTGCAGATAGTAACAAATGCGAACAGCAACGGAAAAATAAGTGGACAAGTAAAACAATGTCTTTATTCACAATTAATAACTGTGTTTGTCATCAAACTGGTCAGCTTATTTATTTTCGTTTTGCTTTTACCGGCTGTTGGAGTGAAGAAGAGTCCTTCTAAGTTAAAGCAAACCAAAGAAGCAAGAGGCAGTAATCAGATTTGTAAGGATATTCCGCTTTTATAGACAGGGAAAGCCTTTGTGCGGTATCCCATAAATCATTAAGTTACATACTTCATATCTAGATATATAATCCATGCCAGTTTGCACAAGTATCGGTATTACCTCTTTGAATAGGATAACTTCATAGAAGGTCAATACAGAAACAACTGTTAACGTGAGCTTAAGTTGCAGTATGCAGTCTTTATCTTATAAAATACTAGTACACATTTAAGACATCAAGGTAACAATGACTGGATTAACTACATTCCGAAATGAAACAGAAATTCGGTAAAACTATCTAAAGATACCTGAATGAACGTGTACCCTATACCAATTTTGGAAGGGTGAAGTTACTACCTGACGAGTCCTGGTATTTGGTACTGAATATGGCAGATATAGTGTGGTTGACATTTTTATACATTCTTCTTTACTTTCCTTCTTAGAGTATTTAAACAATTACTTCTCTCATTGACAAAACAACCTTAATGTTTCACTGAGTTTATAATAACATTATTACTTCACTATTCTCTACGAAAAAAAACACAAAAAACATAGAAGTTCCTTTCCTTAATGGTGTCGTTCAGTATTTCATCTGTTTTGTTTCTTTCCCAATCTTAAGTGAACGCAGAACTGCCGATTGTTTCATAAGTCTTTGAAACATTTAAAAACGTTACGGCAGTTCTATACATGAGTAACCCCAAAGTCAACACCTCTACCTAAAATAAAATAAACTGAACGTTTTGGGGGTTGAAGCCTCCCTTTCCTTACTTTCATGTTCTACTCCACAAACCACGAAGCGTTGCCATTATCTGTAAAAGTTTCATTATAAACAAAGGTAGATACAACTGGTCATATTGATACTAAATAAAAATTCAAATAACTAGTCCTCTTGGGAATTTTAATTTAATTTGAAATAAACTATAAACTGTATTTAAGATGACACGAAATTGTAGATGCTATTTCAATTATAAAGAAATAAAAACAGTACTGTAATATAAACATCATTATTTTTACACAACAGGAGAGCGATTTGATCCTTTTGAATTCTTATATGTATGATTTATACGTTAACCATAAGCCGTTCACGTGCTTAAAGCAGAAATGCACCTCTATATAGGTGGTCATACTAGGCAGAATGATTCATGTCAGCACAACAACATTCCACGAGTGACTTTAGGTTCGCCACTGTAAGCAACTCGAGTTAGAAGCCACTTGTTCTACCAGATTTCATAGCATTCCAGCAACGAAGTACCTTACCACCTAATGAAGGCGAGGTTTTATTATTGAATTTTTGTCTGACTAACAGACATTGCACTTATGACATTTAAACTTAGTAACATTCAGAATCATAGAAACTAGCAGAGACCTGCAAAACATTTCCGGCCAAATTAGTATCTTTATCGTAATATTACTTCTTTAAATATAACATTTCTAGCACAATACAAACGAATTGTAATCGTAGACAACGAAATGTGTAAATCCACTTGTATATAGGCCGTACTTTATAAAACTTTAACTTATGTTAGGCGTAAGTTCGCTAAAAGAGATAAATTAACACTGTAACCTATGTACATTTTTTTTTTTTTACTTTAGTTTAGTTAG